GGCGATCCTTCCGCCTCAGCCTTCCGAGTAGCTGGAACTACAGGCACGCGCTACCACGCCCGGCTGATTTTTTGATTTATTGTAGAGATGAGGTCTCGCCAAGTTGCCCATGCGGGTCTCGAACCCGCGGGCTCAGGCAATCCACTCACCTCAGCCTCCCAAAGGCACGGGATTACAGGCTGAGCCACCAAGCCCGGGCTGATGACTTCCTTAATTCCATTTTCTTTTTTTGCAGTGGGGTCTTGCTCTGTTGCCCAGGCTGGAGTGCAGTGGCACAATCACAGCTTGCCGCAGCCCTGACCTCCTAGGCTCAGGTGATCCTTTTGCCTCCGCCTACCAAGTAGCTGGGACTACAGATGAGCGCCACTACACCTGGCTAATTTTTAAATTTTTTTGTAGAGTCTCGTTATGTAGCCTAGGCTGGTCTCGAACTCCTGGGCTCAGGCGATCCTCCCACCTCGGCCTCCCAAAGCGCTGGGATTACAGACATGAGCCAACCGTGCCCAGCCAACATTTTCTTTTCTCCAGCTTATTTTATTATAAGAATATGTATGACATACAAAATATGTGTTAATCTACTCTTTATGTTATCGGTAAGGTTTCTGGTCAACCTTAGGCTATTCAAAGTTCATAAAATTTCTGGCGTGTCTGCAGACGTGCATGAACTTTAGACTGCATGAGGTCAGTGCCTTGGCCTCTGTGTTATTCCAGGGTCACCTGTACTCGTCTGTAAGCTTCAAAGCACGCGGCGTTCCCTGTTCTTGAGGAAACCAGCATTCCCTCCGTACTCGGCCTTGTCTAAACAGGACTGCTATGGGAACTTTATTTGCAAAAACAAAAATTTCACCTTATTTACACAAAGTTGAAAATGGTAAAGTAAGCAAATCCTGAGAACGTTTTTCCACTGGAAAATTCTCATGCTAACAAATTCAATTGTATTTTATTATAATAGTAACCGCAAATGAATAGTGATCTTTATTTTCCTTGTCTTCCCTGTTGCAGGGAGGCCAGGCTGCTGGGAGGAAGAGGCCTGGTCATGTGGGCTGGCAGCTGCCCGTTTCTTGGAGCCTCTCATTTCTGGAAGGTTCTGGGTGGTTCTAGGCCTTGTCGGCCCGAAAGGTGATAAGCAGGGGTACATAGTCAATGCTTGCTGTGTCACTGAGTGGGTGAATAAAGAGCCCTACAAGGTTAACACTACACCATTCAAAGAGTTGCATTTAAAATACAGGCAATTGTGATGGCCAGGCTCGGTGGCTCAGGTGAGTGAACTGCCTGAGCCTGTGGGTTCGAGACCAGCCTAGGCAACTTGGTGAGACCTCGTCTCTACAATAAGTAAAAAATTAGCCGGGCATGGACGCACATGCCTATAGTTCCAGCTACTTGGAAGACTGAGAAGGAAGGATCGCTGGAGCCCAGCAGGTCGATGCTGGGGTGACAGAGTGAGACTCCAACTAAAAAAAAAAAAAATGCAGGCAATTGTGAAGATAGCAATAGTTTATATACATATATAAAATATCACATATACCTAAAATAGTAGTGTGTGTGTGTGTTTCTTTTTTCTGTTATTTAGCCTGGCAAACAGTAGATGTACATATCAATAATGGACCCTCTTCCCTTCCCTGATCTTATTATTCCTTCAAGTAATCATTTTAAAATGACTGCTTTTGTCAGCATTTACATACCCAAACCAACGCACAGCTGGGTAAGGTAGCCAAGCCAAATTCTTCCTGGTTATCTCATCTCCTGAATGCTTCCACACCACATGGAAACTACAGTTCCATTTACAAACGACCCAGGTGAGGAACACATCTGCATATGAAACATAGTGTGAAACATGTCTAATTTTAAATATTTTAATTTACAGACTTTCATGAGTACAGGTCAATAAGAAATCCACTTTTCAGATTTTATTTCATTATAGAATATATCTGACAAGGATACATACAAACAGATTCATCTGGAATACACAGTGTCTACTGGGGCCTGCACGTCCGAGCAGGCCGGTGACCTCATGAAAAATGTTTGCAAAAGTTGCATTTAACCAGCCACTCTAAACAACCAGTGCCAGAGAGTTCAGGTCATTCCATTCATTTGCTTGCCTAGAATGAGTAAAAATCTTAATATGTGTCTTAAAGTCTGTTTATCACTCTTCTATTTAAAAATTCGAGATTCATTCCCCAATGTAAACAATACATTTCAGTCTGTCACACAATCGAAATGGATAAGGCCTTCTTGACAAGTTTGTGCCACCTACGTTTTACTCATCAGAACATAATCTTATCTCATACTGGAGCAAGTCGTCCGCGCACAAGAGACAGAAAGAGACTGCCCTCCGCGCCTGGTGGGGCACAAGAGACAGAAAGAGACTGCCCTCCGCGCCTGGTGGGGCCTTTGAGACCTCTGCTCGCTGCAGGTTTACGGAACATTCAGAGATTTCTTTCTGATGCGGTCTACTTGGTCGTAAAATACACGTATACAATGTCCAAAAGCAGGAAACAGCAAAGCCTAGTCTTATGCATTTATCATGAACTGCTAAAACCCTATACAAGTACAATATCACGTCATGCCAGTGAATATACAGAAGAAGGTGGCGAGATGTCGCACCGTGAATCAGGGCGTGTGAGCAAGGACCAGAGGGGACGCAGACCGGGGGAAGAGGCTGACTGCATGTGGTCAGGCAGGACGGTCTGGCTGAGACTCTAAATGCCTGTCCACCCCGCTGACAGACTGAAGTCAATCTGGAGTCGAAGCTGCTTACCCCGAGAACCCAAGCCTTGCCCCCAGCCTCCCAGGGAGAGCCGAACGGCACCCCAGACGGCGTCACCAGAGCCCGTCTCGCGTGTGCACCTCCTGACTGAGCTGTGCACACCGGCTGTTCACGCTCTTCCGAGTGACTGCTCCTTGGCGGACCGACGGGTCGCCAGCCCTGGCGGCTCAGTACCTCATCACCGTCATAAATATGTCACTTCGTAAGCTAGATCGTGAAAGAGCAAAGACTATATACAACATCTTAAAAGGCATTCTGTGACCGTTTTGAAGAGTTCATAGAAAAGTTGCTAAGGACAAACCAGTTACTTCTGTCGACACGCGGGGGCCTTGTCATAGTCACGGTGGACTCTTTCCTACGTGGTGCGACAGAAGCACGATGGAGCCACCGATCCCACGTGGCGCCCGCTGACTCATGAGGCTAAGGTAACCGGCAGAGGGTGTAGTTTTCCTGAGGTTTGTAAAAATTTTTTGAACAAAACAGAAATCACAGTGACCAAGCGCGATGCGAGTCTGTGTCTTCCGTGAACGTTCCGCTCTCACGGCCTTGCCCGGGACTAGATGACCCTCCACTGCATGATGCTCGTGTCCTTCCCGCCTGTGGAGATGAGGTGGCTGTCTTCACAGAGGAAGTCCACGTTGGTGACATGGCTGCTGTGCCCGCCATATATGTGGCTTGGAGCCTAGAGAAGGAGGACATGGAGGAAAAGCTGATGACAAGGCAAACTACTACTCGGAACCAGAAAGTGCTTGAACGCCAGACCCATTCCTCAATTCCTCTACGCTTTCTTTCACCTGGCAGCTGTCACTTGTGTAACTGCTCTGTGCCCAGGACACAAGAGGGACCCAGAAACAACCCACAGAGTCCCTGTGGCCTGGTGGGGGGACAGGTAATGAGCAAATGACTGCCCTGGCTTGAAAGATACACTCAGTATCAGCGGGTTGTCCCAGGCACAAGGTCAACCCAAAGGCGAGACTGACCAGGTGTCGGGGACTGAGGGCAAAGGTCTCTTTGTGAAGGAAGGCCAGAGTCAAGGAGGATGAAGGGCATTCTAGGCATTGGGGCTGGCACAGCTCAGCTGGGCTGGAGCACGGGGCCGTGGGTACGGGGGGAGGGGGAGCCCATGAAGCCACCGAGGTAGACACCCAGATCTGATGGGCTCTCTGGGTCAGTGAGGGACGGGGTTTCCCCACAGGCAGTGGGGACCGGAAGTGCTGGGACCAGTGGACAACAGGGTCCCGTCGGCGTCCACAGCCCATGGCCTTCACTGGCAGCCCGCTTCTGTTTGGCTTCCAAAGAGGTCAGGCCTAAGCGCTGCCCGTGAGGGGCGAGATAAGTTGGGAACAGCCCTGTACCCGGAACTGCGAGCAGGGATAGGAGAAGAGGTGCACTTTGCCGAAGTCATCGCCCGTGGACAGGAGTTTCTTCTCGTGGGCCCGACAGACAGCGTTGATGTCGGTTCCGTCCGAGCCTTCCGGCCACACTCCTGAAACAGAGACCACCAATAGAGCACTGGCCGTACCAGACACAGGGCCACATGCACTGGGCCCGGCCACTGAGCTGGCGTGAAGGTCAGATCACCTTAGGTCCGCGAGAAACAAAGGTCAACACAACATGGAGTCTCAGCTCCCGGCTCTCCCTGTGCTTCCAGAATCATCTCACCCCAGCCATCCTCAGGAAGTCCTTGGACGCTCAGCCCTGTTCTACTGTGGGGGAGGACCAACAGCAGGCCTCCTGGGCGGCCCGCTTTCCTCGGGGCCCCTTCTTGAGGCTTCAGCAGAGGGTACCAGCAACCCCAGTTCTGAACACGATGGCTTTCCTCCACCCCCAGAGCACCAGAAGGGAGGCTGACCAGTCCTCAAGCCTGTGGTTTCTTTTTGGGGGGAACTCTTTACATATGACAGTCTCTCCAAAGAACGTGTTAGCCCTGGGTCTGTGTGTAACTTTCGGGCATTTCTTGGGGTCCTTGTGGCCTCGGCCTGCCTGGTAGCAGCCTGGCAGGTGTGCCCCTCGTCCCTGGCGGTGGGCACCACAGCCCTGAGCCCAAGTAGCCTGGAGAATGGGTGGGTAGGGGGTGCTGTTTCCTGACCATGGTCAGGGGAAAATACTGCCTTTTAAAATTTTATAGCCGGGCTCGGTGACTCAGCCTGTAATCCCGCGCCTTTGGGAGGCTGAGGTGAGTGGATTGCCTGAGCCCGAGGGTTCG